AGTTCTGGTCCTTACTGAGGAAGACAGAGGCAAAGAAGTTATTAAATATGTTGGCTTTGTCGTCTGGCGTGACAACCAGATTCCCCGTCTTGTCCTGCAAGGGCCCCACATTTCCTGGGGCCTTCTTTCTACTCCCTAACTGAACTCTGTAACTGAAAGTGGGGATATAGTATTTGAAACCAGCACAAACTTAGTATTCATTTAATGTAAATAATGACACTTTGATCCTATTGCAAAATTTTATAGGGAGCCTGTGTAAATATTTCACAGCAGCAATATGTTGCTGAAATAGGTCAGTGTCTTTAAGAACATTGACTACAGCGGGGGTGGCCAGCAAGTGGCATGCTGCAGACTGGTTAAATATGTAACCAGCAGATAGGGCAGATACCTGATATGCTGCAGTTTTCTGCTAAGGAGCACAGATCAGGGAGAAGAAAGAAGAGTGGGAGATAGGGCAGGGGCCAGAAAGCAGAGGAGCAGTTCAGTCAAGGAAAGACAATTGGAGTGGCAGTTGCAGAGCGTGTGGGGCAGCTTTGTGGCACGCTGGCCAGAAAGGTTGGTCCTCACTTGGCTACAGTACTGTCTCTGACTTGCACCCTGGACTTTTAAAACCAGAAATTACTTTAGTGAAGACTTGTAATGATTTAGTACTAAAAAGGCAAAGGCTTTTATGAGCAATTGCATTCCTTTGCCCAAAATGAGGGTTTGGGCTTTCATGGATAATAAAATGATGTCTGAGCAAGTAATAACTCTGAAAATCGTTTCATATCAGTTCATTTCTACTTAAAAAGACTTTTTCATGTTGTGACCTGGGCAAAATCACTAGACCTTTTGGCACCCATATCAAACTCAGGCAGGAAACCTGCTTTATGCATAAGAATTGTCAGTGAAAATCAAGTAATCAAAACTTCTCTTTCAGGGTTTAAATAATAATGCTGATCTTTTGCACTTGAGAGACATTAGTTAATTCTAATGAAGACCTGGGGATAGTCATTAGCTCTCTTACTGATGGCATATTCAGCCAGTTGAAATGGGACCACAAGGCTCAGGAGTCTGATAGCCAGGATTAGACCTCTGAAGTTCTAGGCTCTCCATTCTGTGTTTGTACTCTCTCATTTCTTTCTTGGTTAAATATCTTGGACACTTTATTTCAGGAATGGCAGCTCTGGAATTGGCTGCTGGTGAATATTACTTCTCCCCAGCTGGGTTATTTGTGGGTTACCTTTTCATTTTTTAAAGTGACCAATGAGTTGTGCTTTCCTTATAATCAAGGCTACAGAGACATTTCAAGAACCTAAAGGTGCCTTCAGGGAAGCTGGGCAACTTGAAAAATGTAGTGAACCTCAAGGTGCTAGAAAAACAGAAGCTCACATCCAATGAAAAGTCTGTGGCCTTACTGCAGGTAAGGGAAATATAGGACTAAAGAGGGAATGAAAAGGGAATAAAGAATATCTGTCCTTGTGGTAGTGCTCCTCATTACACACTAAATTTTTAGTGGAAGCACCATTGACTTGGGTTGGAGGAGAATGCACTGGTGAGAATACCCTTTTCTGGGAAAAGAAGGAAATTTAATCTCTTCGTTTTGTTCTGTTCTTGTTCACCTCCTTTATCGGGCCCTTTGTAAATTTGTTCTCATTTGTACCACGGTAATATTTGAGAAAGTTTCTGATGTGACATTATTCTTATTGTAATATTCTGGGTTGAAGCAAATTCAGTAATAATCATCTTTCCTGTTTCCTGCTGGTATTTGGTTATGAACTTGAAATATAGATGGGTTAATGAGGGTGATCCTCTGATCTGACTGATTGGTACTTCAGTTTTCTCATCATCAAATAGTCAGTAAATAGTGACGTTAATGGTAACTTTGTCTTGTGTTTGCTGTTCCTAAAGATTTTTCCTCTGAGTCTTTGTCATGTGTGTCTGTATCATGCTACCCACCCGTCACTCAAGCATGGTGTTTAATACATTACATAATAAATCCATGCTTATAGCACTGCCCACAAGTTCCAAGAAGCACTACGCTGTCTTCCACACTTCTTTACGCTATGCAGCATGCGATCCTTTTAGGAATTAGTTTGCAATCAAGTTGTCTTTCTGCCACAAGCCTAGGGCAGAAGTTACTGTGGCCCTTACAGCATGCAACTGTTAGCCCAGCATGTACCTTCATTAAGCATGTTTATAGCAGTGTGACTGAACTATGGATCCATTGGGGTGTTCCATGATTGCAGCCGAAGTGCTTATACATGAGGCTAGTCTCACAAAGATGCCCTGGGGTGGTCTTCAGGATTCTTTATAGAGGATGCAAATGGTAGCAGGCCATCAGATAACAGAGAGTGGCAGACATTTAAACCAGATATGGCCAAAATGGTACATTCTGCCATTGCTGACCTAACTCCAACCACAGAACTGCATTTCTGGAGCATAACTAGTGCAGTGTAGGGGAGACACATTGCTTTGCAGGTATGGGGGGGACCAACAGTGGTTTCAGTGGTGGTGATCTGCATTGCTGCTATGAAAGCTGTTTATCAGAAAGTATCAGGGATGTACTTGTGATACTAGTTGGCTTTCATGGAGTGGGCTTTCCAACTACGCTGGGTCCATTGATGTCATGCTTGTGCCCAGAGTTTTTTCTTTCAACAGTTGCATTCTGGCACAATTTAGTAATCATTGTCTGCCTCTTTGCCACTTAGGAATCCCCTTTCTGAATGAGGCAGGGGGAAGCAGGAGCTTAGTGCTTGGACACGCAGACAAGTACCTTATCCATTTCTATATAGCAGGGGTATGTAGCTGGGGTATCACTGGACCAGCTGGTTAGTGTCTCTAGCAACCTTGTAGGAGTGCTTCACAACTTTGGGTTAGTAGCCCTGAATCTTGCTTAGCTGAACAAACATGCTGTGTGTTTGATTATTGCAGATATCGTTGTGGTGCTTCCTTTCTTCCAAATGTTCAAAATAATTTGGTTATGCAGTTCAGGCCAGACAGCATCTCATCCAAATGAGATAGCATTCATTAAAAAGAGCAGGGATTGCCCTGGGTTGTGCTAATCACTATGGAAAAGTCTGTAAGGAACATATATGAGTTTAAATGCTGAACAAAGGACAACCTAGTTGCTGGAAAGTTAAAGGGAAGAGGACTAGAGCCAAATGACTGAAAGACAGGAGCAGGGCATTGTGAATGAGTAACTGAAGGTTTTGAGGTATTCATGTGTTGCAGCATGTGGCTGTGTTGCAACCACATCGTAAAATACTTATGTATGGAGGGATGTGCGTTGTGGCTGATGTGTGTTTACTGAGAAGTTTGAAGAGAGCATATGGAGCTGTTGTAGACCTGCACCAGGATATGGGGATAGAGTTTACAGTGTGGGTGGTATGAACATGGGCCTGGGACTGTGTCTAACTTTCAGCTTAGAAATAACCTGAATTTTTGGGTTGGCAACAAACTCTTGTACCTCTAAACTATAGCTAATAGCTCATAGGCTCAGTTTGTCTGTCATTGTGAGTCAAAAAAGCTATGTGTCTCTACATAGAGTCTTAGAACTCAACACCCATAGTTCATAAAACTTATTTAAAAATATAATTTACAGATTCCCAGAATATTTTTTCCTGGTTGGTTTCCTCCAGAAAAAATGTCTAGATGTAAGGTGGCTTTCATAGTGGCATTTAAGCAAGACTGTATCCAGCATTGTTTGGCACATCGGAACAGCTGTATCTAACTGTGGAGAAGCTATGCTGGGAGAGGGTGAAGCTGATTCTTCCAGGCTTCACTGACTCAAACACAGAGATTGGCATCCAGTTCTTAGAGCTGTTTTCCTGATCCTTCAGAATGATATTGGGATGATCTTTTAATGATTTCTTATTTCTTGATTGTTCAGATTTTTTTCTGTGTCTAGGAAAGGTAAAGTTAGGCCATGCTTGATTGAATCCTAGCATAGTGTTTGGTGTATGAATGCTTTGCTGGCTTTTATATGCTTATTTTCCACTTTCCATTTTGACCCAGGAAGAAATTGAGAAAGCTGTGCAAGCAGCAGAGCACACAGATGAGAATATTCGGAGTCTGCAGGACAAAATTCGGATGCTCCGGAGCGAGTTAGAGGAAGAGGAAAACAAGGCTGAATCGGTACTTATAGCAAAACTTGCTGTATTGAGCCACAGAGTGGTTGTTCTGACCAGCTCCAGAAAAAAGCTGTCTTCATTGAGAGTCTTATTTAGGGGAGACTTCTTTGGCATAAGGAATGATTATTTCTTATTTAGGGGAGACTTCTTTGGCATAAGGAATGATTATTTCCAGGACTTTCTTAATGTCATGTCTGTATTTCAAGATGAAACAAATAAGAGGATGGTAGCATGAAAACAAACGTGTTTGTGAAGACTTGATTTTTATCTGGCCTTCAGGTTTTCCAGAGAAGTGGCAGAGGGGTGCTCAACCTCCCAGAGCTACCAACAAACAGTCTGGAGGCACCTGTTCTGCAGGTGAGCAGGGGAAGGGCACCATCTTTTCAGACACCCTTCTGGCAATGAGGAAGCGACAACAGAACTGTATACTTTGCCCCCTTGGGAGGAGTGGTTTTCACTTTTTCTCTCGTAACCAGAGCAGTATAGTTGTGCTTGAATACTCCATCAAATGGTTCAAGTAAAGATCAATCAGCTTGTCCCATCTGTGGCCACAGAGAGCAGTTTCTGAAATGGTCCCTCCTGAACTATTCCTATTTAAGTGCTAAGTAAAGATAATTTATGCTTTCTGTATTTTTGACCGGGGTATATGGGGCTGTCTTGGTTGAAAGTCTGATTGGTTGAAACCCCTGATAGAAATAAATCTGTTTTGTGTTCCCCTCATATGTTTTTCATGTTTCCTTTATTTCTTCCTTCTTTAGGAGGAGATTTTGAAGATCCCAAACCAGACAGGAGTTTTGAAGAACTTGAATACCGTCCAGCACTCAGCTGAGATGAGGAACATGTTGAGTCTCCTTAAACAGGCCTATGAGAAAGTGGACTCCCTTTGAGGAACTCATACACTGAATTCTGCCTTTAAGACAACTTTATCTTGTGCTAACAAATGCTGGTCCTGTAACAATGTTTTTGCTCCTAAAGACTTAACTTGTGTGATAACTAGGTGTCTTAGTCAAACTTTTATCAGATAAATGTCGGAAAAATATGTTGACGGGTGCTCAGTGGAACGCCACTGATATGCTGCATTCCCATTGGAATAAGATAAGCAGAACTAATCTGTCCGTGTAGACATTTACAGTGTATATGTTACCTTTATTAATACAACACAGTTAAAATTCACATTTACCTTTTTGGAAAGCCTTTTTTTTTCTTTAGAGAACCATCTTGAGAACTGACAGACAAACAGCGGATTTCACTAGCTCTTAATAGTCTTTGTTTTGTAATATTTTTTTTTTTGTGGGCAAGGACTTCTGTCTCATTGTATCAGAACTCTCCTGTCAGGGTTGTAAATTCACCATCTCATATGAACCCAACGTTCACTTCAAACAGGATTTAATGCTCCCCTTTTAAGGTGAACCATGTAATTGATATTTTTTTTAACGAGTAGTTGCTAATCCACAATAAATGTCCTTTTTTCAAACAAAATCGGGTGTTATTGAAATGTAAATCAAAAGCCTATGTGGGAAATTGAAGTTAAAGGATCAACATTTCATTTTATTAGGTGGACAGGATTCTTTACACTCTCAATCCACTGTAAACAAAGACAATTGCACCTGGTTTTCCTCAAGCGATATGGGCTGGGAATAATTGCAGATTATTGTGCAGATCTCTGATCTCAAAGTGGTGTACACATCTTTTGTTTCCTTAATTGCCAGGTTGCCTTTAGCTTTGGAAAAGTGAGGTAACACAAAATGTGCGTTTCTCATGGGTTTTGTCACTTTGGCTGCTTGCAGACATGAAAAAAACAACAAAACTGCGCTTTGCTGGGAGCAGCAGTGTGTTAGTTTGACCTGGCTCTGCACTACCTGTATAGATCAGGTGCATCAGTGGGGCTTTTTGGCACTTTTTATTTAAAGATGATTCAATCAGCTATTAGATGAAAGCTTCAAAAAAGCCCCATTAAAGCACCCGATCTATATAGATGCTGCAGAGCCAGGTCAAATTAACACGCTGCTTCTTCTGGGCACGTGCTGGGCTCGGTGTGGGAATGGACTCGGTTTAAAGTGCATTTTTTGTGTTTTGATTTTTTTTTATTTTTTTTTCCCCTCATCTGCAAGCAGCCTTTGACTTTTTGTTAAGGCATCTTGTTATGTAAAAGTACTTCCCCTGTTGAATTCCCACCTGGCAAATAGTGACATTGACTTGATAGTGATCTTTCAGGGAACCTCTCATTGGTTTACAGTCTGCTTGTCTCTTAACGAGGTAAGGAGGATAATTTAATTGTTTTTGAACCCTATGGGGATTAAAAACCATCATGTAGTTCCTATGCATAGGAACTGGAAATGTAGAGCAGAGAACACTTTCTTTACATTGGGTGGGCCAAATGAAGCTTGTGTTTTAACTTGTCTTGATCTGTTTTTTGAAATATGTGGTCAGCAGTGGAAACGACCATGTCTCTTATGGGTTGACAGGATAGAGGAAAGTCCCACAGGATATATAGGTTCAAATCAGTACGCTGGTGGGGTAAGGTTGAGCCCTGTTTGTTTTCACAATGATCACGAGTTTTATTCTTTTAATATGTTTATTAAAACTCCTTGCTATGCATATAATACTGCTTAGCTTTAAGAAATACCACAAACATTAAAAACACAATAACTGCATATATTAGAAACAATGCTCCAAACGCACTTCCTTCCCAAACAATGCTATAAGAATTAGTATTACAAAAACAGATACAATCCTAGAATTCTGAGAAACCAAATCCCCAGATATACTTTCATTCTTTAGTTATGGTTTTAGGGTTGGTCTCAGCAGTGATAGGAACAAGTCCCCTTCCTTCGGTCCCACTCAGGCACTCTGCGGCTTCAGCGTGAACGGGAGTTCTTGTTCACTGAGAGGATGGTTCAGGTGATCAGTCTGATCCGGCCTACACTTAGATTCTTCCTTTGGTGTTCTGCAAGTGAGGTTACCTCCAAATTGGGACTATAGGTTACAGGTTATATACTGGGTGAGTTGCCGTCTTGGGCCCCTTCTACCCAAACCTGTCACTACTCCCAAATTGGGCTCGGATCTTACTCAACAGATTTTTACTGGGTGGTCAGTTTGTCTTCCACAATGGAATTTGTCCATTGACTATTCAGTTTATCTTAAATTCTTGCTTTCTGGGAAATTTTCCACAACACTGTAGTGACCCATCTTTCCCAACCCCCTTTCAAAAGCTTCTAGGGTTTGATCTCTCAGAATGTTTGCTTAAGGGTCGTTTTTCTTGTTCCTGGGTTAACTTGTTAAAGGCCTCTAAAGTAAGATTGAGAACCTAAGACTTTTAAATAAACTTGTTGCAGGGCCAGGCAAAGCAAGCAGTGGCCTAGATAAGATGAACCTTGCCTTTTTGTCTACACTGGCTAAGGGGCGGTTATTACAAGAATTCAAACTATTACATTCAATATGACAGAGCACACATTTCTATAACCATTATTCCATTATGGACTGGTTGTGTTGTTATCCCTTGTGGCTGGTCAGTTAATAAATTGAGAGATCTTTTATTGATGTGCCAGTGTCAGTAAGTTAGTCCCCCGTGTGAGTATGCCCAAATGTAAGTGTTCTAGCAGACTTAATTGGAAACATCCTTCAGTGAACTAAATTACAACGTAGCCTTCAACGTATGTGCCCCATTGCATCTCTTAATGAGCAATCCCACCTGGCACTCTGAATGCACTAGTATGTCATTAGCTTTGGTGCTGATGTCTTTTAATTTGGGAGGAGCTATTGGGTGTGAGCAAATAAAATGAGGAAAGGTTGCGGGACCTGAACCTGTTCAGCCTTCAAAAGAGAAGGCTGAGGGGGGATCTTGTGGCCTGTTATAAACTGGTTAGGGGGGATCAGCAGGCGCTGGGGGAGTCCCTGTTCCCCCGAGCGCTGCAAGGAGTGACCAGGAACAATGGTCACAAGCTGGCGGAGGGAAGGTTTAAGTTGGACATCAGGAGGCGCTACTTCACGGTCAGGGCGGCTAGGGTCTGGAACCAGCTTCCAAGTGAGGTGGTGCAGGCTCCCACCCTGGGGGTTTTTAAGAGGAGGTTGGATGACCACCTTACTGGGGTCATTTGACCCCAGTGCTCTTCCTGCCATGGCAGGGGGTCGGACTAGATGATCTGCTTAGGTCCCTTCCGACCCTAGAAACTACGAAACTATGAAAATCCAAATAGAATATTCATTTTAATTGACAGGGTGCATCTACATGAGACGCTACGTCATTGTAGCGATGCACTATGTTGACGTAGCATCAGTCGGTACAAACCGTGATGCCGCAGCTATGTCGCCATAGTGATGTGCTCCATCACTGCTATGGTGATGTAATGGCTAAAAATAACCATGTGCCTGCCAGCACGGTGCAGTAATGGTAGTTACTGTGCCATCATTTAGTATTTCCTAAAGGAAATACCAAATCCTAAAGGAACATAAATCAGTGACTTTTTTCTCAATACATCATATTGAACATAAGGTGTTGAGATATTTCAACATGTCTCTTAGGGAAAAAAGGTCCAGAGAGCAGAACCTCTGGTTGTGATCTGATTAGATCTCTTGTGCTAATAGATCTCCAGATGAAAGCTGCTGTGCTACGGTCAGCAATGTTGGTGACTGGAGATTTGGTAGTAGGCATTCTACTAAAACCAAACCCTTGTACAACATCATGGGCCTATTTGTGCATTGTTAAATGTAATGTCATTCAAATAGATGCTGCTTTGATGGCTGCATGAAACAATAACGAAAGAGGGTCCTTTATTGTTGTATCCAGCTCTGCTTATGCACAGGTTTGGAGATTATGGTGAATGGGAGTGTGGGATGGAACAGAGGTGCAAAATGCAATATTTGGTATCTAGGTAAGACTAGCAGACTCCTCAGTCTCTAATGGGCCCAAAAGGAATACTATGACTAATGTGGGAGGTTTAGTAAGCCTTATTTCATCTGCCATGCATCTGATAGCATTAGACTGGTTATGCAGCCTCTTCTTGAGCCTTCATTTTTAGCTTGGGTAGGCTAGAAGGCCAGATTTCTGGAACCCTTGTATATAGCTGCAGATCACTTCTGAGCCTGAGTTGTATGGTATCACCACACTTGGTCTTCCTCAATGATATATAATGCCATTGAGACGTGTCCTCCCATAAGGTATGAAATATTCTTTTCTCTAAGATGTTCCATCTTTTGTCTAGGAGGAGTTGGGCCCAAACAGAATGAATCATAGAGCAGCACTTACTAGAATTTAGCTTGTCTGACATTTGGAGGGGAAGGGAAAGCGGGACATAACAGGGAAAACAAGAGGTTTAAGGTACCTAAGTGCTTTTTTCTCACACCTTTGCTTTTATTGCTCAGCTGCATCAGTTTCCTCTGTGGCAAGAGAAAGTCTGTTTAACTCAGTTTGCTTGTTCCAATAGGGGGTAAAGACCAACTCTGAGAACAATGTGAACAACCTTAGTTGTATGAATGAGGAGATGGAGTGCGCATTGTAACTATGCGCAAAGCAGATCATTAGTTGATACCAATATGGCTAGATTAAATGTCATACTGAGCACAGAGAAAGCCTCCTGCAGGAGTGATATGCTCTTCAACCTGCTCCTTGAAGCTTATTTTTAACTTCGCAACATGAGCCCCTCCCTTTTGGTAGGTGTGGCTATTGCTCCTTTTTTCCTTCCTGGACCCACAAAAGAACAGAAAAATCAACATATTTGGAGCACTCCAGTTTCTCTATTGTTCCCCACATTAAAGAAGGTATTGAGCTGATGCTTTGCTATCTTGTAGCCCTACGCGGATCACTGTAAGCCTGAACAACAAGCTACAATATTGACAGCAGGTAAATGATCTATCCATGTGCTCTTTGTATCAGCACTGTATCCGTATTTGTGTGTATATATATTTTTTAAACCAAATGTTGATACTATAAGGGTAGCTGTATATCCAAGAATACATCAAAATTGGTCTTATATGGAGGTTGATGTAGTTTGATGCAGAACGATTCTGATACGGAAGCTGGCTGCATCTTTAAGATGGAGAAAAGATGGAAGAAGAGACACTTGTTCACTCAGCCCCATACGTAGAGACATGCATATATGAAGGAAAGGGAAAAACAAAGTTTTTATCATTTTGAATGATGGTGCAGATTGGAAGGTTTTAAAGCTGTTGAAAAATGCCAGATTGATGGTCCTGCATGATGGAAGTCTCGCTAGTAGCCATATAGAGAATAAGTGGCAGCACAAGCATATGTTTCTCCAGACTTGTCTGTTTAAATATCTTAACACTGACCTTGGGGGAAAGGGGTACGGATGGGCTACCTTTGGTGCGAGGACATCATTCAATGCCCTTGGCTGGTCTGTTGAGAGTGGCACTCACTCAGCCTTCTGTTGGCAGTTGCAGCATTATGTGTATCCTTGTTTAGCTGCAATTGGATTGAGAAGTGCCTTGAGTCAAAGTGGAGAAAAAAATTCATGTTACAA